ATATATATATATATATATATATATATATATATATACACACACACACACACACACACATAGAGAACATGAAACAATCAGCAGGAGAGAAAAAAATGGGCCATTACACAAAGTAAAACTATTTCTCGATGCTTATTCCCCCCCCACTACACACACACACAGTTCCTCATCTCTCCTTGTCAATTGCTGGAAATGGGCCATTTTCATTACCACTACAAACAGTTTTTTTTTCTCTCCTGCTGATAAAAGCTCACCTTAACTGATCACTCTCCTTATAGTGTGTATAGTAACACCCACTGTTCCATGTTCTCTGTGTGTATATATATTTTCCTACTGTATTTTCCACTACATGCATCCGATGAAGTAGGCCCACGAAAGCTTATGCTCAAATAAATTTGTTAGTCTCTAAGGTGCTACAAGTACTCCTATAATTTAATAGTCACCCTCCCAAACGTCTTTCACTCTGATGAGGCCCCAAAGGTCTTTTCCCAGTTTGTTTCCCCCAGTTTGTGTGTGTGTGTGTCTTGTAATACAAAACTCGGACATAATTAATTTGTTTTGTCAGACTGTGGAGTAGTTTCTCATTATAATTTATTCATTCATAGTGGCAGTGGTATCAAAACGGATAATATTGTTCTTCTCCTTTGACACAGAATTATGTTTAATACCAAACCTCCCCCAATTTCCTGCAGCTTTAATTGCTAATCTCTCTAGGTCACTTGATATGGTTTTCCTTAGCTTGCTGTTGGATCCAGTTTCAGTAAAATTGGTCACATTTGAAATTACACCAAAAGAACTTGCACAAAACAGAGCAATTGTGCAGGGTAAACAGAGGTATCGGATGGATTTTTATTTAACTGGTCAAAAAATCCTCTGGAAATCCTAAGGGTCTTGGCTTGGGACACAACAAGGAAAGAGCAATGTAACTTGAAGGCAGACTTACTTTCTTATTGCGAAAGAAACAGTTCTATGGACCACCATTTCAAAGTCACAACAAGATAACAAAGCACTTGAAACCAACATTTTGGTCAAACCCATTGCTGACCTCAAATTTGGTCATTTCACATGAGGAAATTTATACTGTGAAGAAAGTTTCAGCTATGTGGGCTTATATAATCCTATCAAAATCACCCTCATTGCGATTTCTAGTTTCTCCTTTTTGTTACCATTTTAAACATGAATTTAGTGTTTGTGAATGGTAACAGACTGACTTTACGCAGTCAAGAGGGAGAGAAGTCCTCTTTATACAAAGTCCTATGTGTAGCAAGAGATCTGTTCTTTGCATGTACACATTCTCATAGCAACAAAAATAACTTTAGTGCTTTACACTCTTGTTTACACTGCAGTCAACAAAAGTAAGAGCAGACGGGATTCTATTTCATCTTGTGCATCAGAACCATTTTTATTACTTTCCAGTCAATTACACTTATGCAAACTCTTTCAAGAAAATAGGGTGTCCCAACAGAGCCATTAGCTAAAGACAATGGACTGCCAATATGTAATAACCTTTATTACTGATGATTTGGCGAGATGAAAGAACTCAGTTTGACTCAGAATCTAAGCTGGGCTTGAAGGCATGGCAATTAGAATATCTTTTTCCTGGTAAACTGAACATATGCGATAAAGAAAATCATCACTGGCAACAGTAGGCATGGAACCCAAAAATGCCATTAATACACTGACTTTTCAGAGAAGATACACAAGTTTTCAATCAATTTTAGCAAGACTTTCTTCAGAGCTATAATTCTACTCCATGGGAGGGAAAATACTGAACCTACAAACAGAAAATCATTTGTCTGTCCATGCCAGAAGAAAGACAGGACGTAGTAGATGTGGTTTAATTAGGCTTCTATTTTATTCACTTAAAATATCGGAGAGTACCCAGCAACAAATTGTACAGTGCAAGAAGGAGTGGGGTCAGCTCTCTGCTGTTCCAGATGTAGGAGGCCCCAAACTTCCCTACTCAGCACCCTGAAGGGATGCTTTCCTTCAAATCCTTTTCCAATCCATTTGATCCAACAACCGTATCCCTTCTATATCAACTACAAGTTTTAAAAGGAGTTAATTCTTACACAAAGTTAAATTGCACAGTATTCTTTCTTCCTCCATTTTAGGAGTAAAGAAAAAAATACCAGAGCATCTTATGAAGCTTAACTGATACACAAACACTGATCTAACAGTGAACTATGTTTCGTTTCAGTCCTCAGTATTTTCTTCTGTTTGCATAGCAACCTAGCAGAAAGGAATCCTGGTCCATAACTAGGGAGCCTAAGCACTGCGATAATACTAACACTAAGGCCTTGTTTGAAATGCTATCATGTAATTTGGACACTGTTAACCCATGATACACAACATTTTCCATGACATGTAACTACATTTTGCCAGGTATAGAATAGAGGCTTCAACTCCTTTGTTCAAAAATTAACTATGTAAACATTCCAATACAGAGAGTTGCTAAAGTCACTCTTTTCCTCCCGCTCTACGTCAGAAAAAACTGAAGATTCTGCCCTGAATATCAGGACTGTGCAGGGTCCTAAAATTGAATGGAAAGTTTGTAGTTCATTGATTACCAATAAGATGGCTGATCAAGTATAAATTTAAAAATGAAACATTCCAGAACTTTGCGCTAGACTTCTCTGTATTAAGGGCAATTAAAATGTAAGCACTATCCTTTTTTCTGATGGGAGAAAGATTTTAAATTACTTGTTCTTACCTTGCTCAACCATAATCTTGGCCGGGGCTATTAACTTTTGTAAGAGATGCCGTCTTGCCACTGCAGAAACTTGTTTCCATGAATTAAATAGTATCTTATTAAGAGTATAAACACATCGGTCTTCCTTGAGGAATACTGTATTAGCTGAGGCACTGCTATAGTTATCAAATAATGAAATACTCAAACTTATTAAAACAGAAAATGATCCAATGGAAATGGGCTTGCATGGCAACCCAAAACTGCATCTTTATCTTTTAAATATAACTACTGAACAACTGAGGATCTGACCGTGGCACTCACTTCAGTAAATATACAAAGAATTCTACCTGCAAAG